CCATGTATATAGGTTAAATAAAAAGATATTATGGACCAATTATTATGGTAGAAAAAGAGAATAGGATCCAATCATACAACTCATATTTAGACCTGTTTCCCTTATGGAAAATAAAGGGTGGAAATTAAGGGGGAAGATAAGATTTTCGATGATGCGACCCAGATAGTTCACATTCCCCACAATATGCCCCCCTTACATTACACCCTCCACTTTACAAATATTTTCTTTTCAGGAAGAAGGTGAGAAAAAGGGACAAGTGACAACTCCTACAAACGGACTCGATTACGACCTAGTCTCTAATAAAGAAGGCTATACCGTATTACATGATCGTTGTAGAGATACGACGGTGGTTTGCAAGGGCTTGACATGTGCATATTATGCATGTTTACAGGAAGGCGAACGTAGTCGTTGATTACTTAGCTAATCTAAGCCACTCACTTTCCATTGATCCCCACATTATTGGAGCACCTAATAGTGTGTTTGCTTACTGTTGTACCATGATGTTATTGCGTCCAAGCAACCTGTTTTGTTATTGAATAAAGGTTGGTACGCCCTTCTAGTGCTTCTTTGTTTCACAAAAAAAGGGACAAATTAAAAGAATGGCGTGTTTGAATGAGTAAAGAGTAGATAAAATAAAATAAATGGCCCATGCAGGTCTCGAACCTGCGACCTTCGCGTTATTAGCACGACGCTCTAACCAACTGAGCTAATAGGCCAATTGAAAACCAAATTTATAAACTAGGTTAATATCCACACACGCTCCATACGCTTGTGAGATTACCATTTCGGTCGGGGACAAATTGGATCAAGCAGATTCATATAGAAATGAGCATTTATTGAGAAATCATTCATGAAACCTTCATAAGTTTGGGGGGGATTCAACAAACAAGGTGGAGAATTGTTTGAGACAAGGATTCGTAAAATTATGTCCAAAGTTGCTAAAAAAAAGTCGGTAATATAACAATTTATACTAAATCACGATTCAACTATTTCATACTTTTAAAATTACTTATGTCTTAGACTCCGATAAGATGGAACAGTTAATAATTGCGATTTGCGAATACTCATTTGGGATATGCTGGGGAAATAGAAAGGTATGGCGAGGCTAAAAAACACTCTGTGGGGTGACTCGTGTTGTTGGTTAACCAACAGCTATACAAAAGGTGAACCAGAAATGAAAAGTAAAAGAGTAGGGGAAAAGAAGGAAAGCAAAGGCTGCAACAACGACAACTATTGGGCTTGGTTTATTACTTCACCACCATCACTAATGGGGTAACTTCATCTTCTAACAAGTCTCAAATTAAAAGTTGTTAATGAAGAAGAAAAGAAAGGAGTGGGGCGAAAGGTGTATTAAAAAAACCGATCTGAGGGGGGAAGAGAGGAATCTGCTCAGAGAACCGACCAGCTTACTGTGAAAGACCACGTTCGATCATTCATTCATTGCTATAATATGCCCTCTGGCTGCTGGGCCTGGGTTGCTGCTTGCTGACCTCTTAACCAATTCCTCAGTTTTTTTTTGCAGGCTTCCTTCTTTGCCTTCTCGTTTCCACCCTTATGTTTCATTGATTATTAATTATTTCCCATTTCGTTTTATCCATCCTACAACCAAATTACTCGAATCGAATCTATTTGGTTCGGTCTGCTTATTTTTTTTCTCGTATTCAAGGAGATTCAAGAAAACCAATGGACCTAAAACTCAATAGTCTATATAAAAAAATCAAAATTTTGGTTACGGTCCAAGATGACGACAACAACAATCTGATAATTCGAAAGTATCAGTTCAACACGCGATGCATCTCGGTACAAACTGAACACACGATACATCTCGGTACGAACTGAGCTTTTTGTCCACTTCTACTAAAAGTTCACTTGTTGTGAGTAATAAGACTAAATTTTACCATATTCAAATATGTAGCTCGAACGAACTAATAATTGTATTATCGCGATGAACCTGATGTCCGTCGTACCGAGAAGGGGAGAAGGTGGGGGGGGGGGGGGGGCTTTGTATTTAAGCTGTCACAAACTCACAAGCCCTAACCCTCCAGAAGAGGACAAAGAGAGGAATGAGGGAGGGGGGTGGTCCAAGAAGAGAGAAACTGGTCAAAACACCACATCATTCAATAGAGGCCCCTCCTCTCAGGGAAAGAAATAAAGAGCAGATTTGAATGTGGGATAAACAACAATAAAAAAAGAATTTGAAGAAAAGGCCAGCAATAGTAGTCGAAGCAGGTAGCAGGAAGCAGTGGCCAAAACAAACAGGCAGCCATTTAAAAATGAATTGAAGAACAACACATGAAATAAAGAAAGACTGAAAGAGTGAAGGAAAGTGATGATACAAAATGGGAAAGGGATACATCCAATCCAACGGCTACCTAGATTAACATCCTAACCCCTAAGGGAAGGGATGCCCTAGATTTATAGGGCTTCACCACCGCCCTAACCCTATACACAAAGGTCAGGACTCGGGACTCGGGGGAATCAGGGATCAGTGCACCTTTTGGCTTTTGTTTCGATGTGTGTTTGGTGTTTAGACCAACTCAGGCTAGGTTAGAGGGTTGAGAAGTGAGAACTAGCTAGGGATCTTCTTTCCCTCTACACGGCCATGGAACAGGCTGAAATTCGTTTGTTTTCAGTCGTTCGATGGAGGAGGTGATTCCTTTGAGTAATACATTTACATCGATCATCGTTCTATGTTGCTCTCCATTATCAAATGATTATGGCATATTATGTTATGGTGAACAAAAGGGAGGACCTTTACCATTCGATTGGGTAGGTAGTCAACAAAATGCTATTGTTTGACCTTCGAGGTTCAAACTATTATTGTTCTTACCGAGCTACGAGTTTGAGGTTCTTCATCAACTCAAAGCGTAAATATAACTTAAAACATTCAAAGAGGGTTGCCTAATCATATGATTCCAGCATCAAATTGCATGTGTGAAACCATTTCTAATCGTGCAAGCCATCTCGTACCCAACATTTGTTGTAGAGGGCAGACCTTTAGTACTGTGCATCAATGTCATCAAAACCGCCGTTCTTAATGACTTGACCAATGGAGGCATAAAAAGAGAGACTATAGGGATGCCCACCTTCATTTCAAATTCCCTATCTAGAGCTACTTGAGATTGTCAAAACGGACCCCCAATTGTGACTAAGACTCCACACTTTTTTCCTACCAGTTGTATCTTTGAAACAAAAGATTGCTAGGGCATAGGCTCCAAGTTTAGTGAACTAAATCCTACCAACGGGTAAAGAAAGCACTTGGGGAGTTAAAAAGGATTCCTCTTTATCCCTTTCAAATGCTATGTTCTGAAGACTGGAGAGGGAAATCTTGTAGGACAGAACCATCTACCCTCCAGCAAGTTAAAGACTATAGAGGTATTTCTTTTCTTTTCCTTCCACACTCCCTCCCTGCAGCAGTTGGTAACAATGAGAACTACTATTAACTAAACACTATGGGTAACCTCTTAGCTCGCCTTTTCCCTCTACACTCCTTTCCCTCCTTTATTGCTCCAATAAGTGTTTTTGACAATGCCCTCAAATCACAATTCACAACCAGAACACCAACCAATGGATTATGTATAGAAGCTGGATGGATTCCCCCTTCATGTCCCAAGTCTCCAACTACCATACAAGAATCTGATGCTACCAAATAGTACTTTAGGCTGTGACTGGAAGTACTTGCTTGTAGGGTATAATAGCCTTGCCATAAATATGTTCAATCCGACTTGGCTAGATCTCTCCTATAGCAAAAGAACAAATAAATTGGGTCTAGATTTGGTTGCTGGCTTTGTGCCTTGTGGCCACTACTGTTTGTCAAATAGTTTATGGGTTCAGTTACGGCAATGAATGAGGCGTGGATGCACGAGACTTGAATGTTACGGACCGTTGAATCCGAACCTTATGATCTAACCAGTTCATCTCACATGCTAAACATCGTTGGCATCCGTCGAAATCTAATCTGAGGTTGAGCGAAGAGGGCACAATTCAACGACATCATCACGAGCAAGTAGCATATCCTAGTCATCCTCGCAAGTCTGTTGTAATTGATGAGACAACCCTTTTCAGCTCAATCCAAAGCTTTTAGAACTAACATTTCAATTTTCATTAACCTCTAACTCATGCTAGATAGGAGAAAGAGGGAATATTTTCAGATGGGCTTTTAGTTTTTGTTTTGGGGTGGAGGGTTAGTTGTCTTAGTAGACTCCCACATGTTTGATCCAAAGAAAGGGTCTCACTCTCACACATGGACCACCACCGACCAATCTTGTAGAAGATCAACAAAAGGGTTCTCCATCAAAATTCAAAAGGGGCACCCCTCCCTCCTTCCTAACTGGCAAATTGAATAATCTTGATTATATAATCTCAAGATTAACTGTCTAGTTACACCATAATCTAAGTATATTTAGTAAATAAGATTAAAATAACCAGTACATAATAGACTCAATAGGGAGAGAGGGAGCTTTGGGATCAGACTGACGTGCAAAAGAAAAGAATCAATTCAATTTCAGAAGAGCAGAGAGAGCGCTCCGCTGGCGCCAATCTTTGGCATCATTTCCCAAAAACCCTCCCTCCCACTACACAACAAATCTCAAAAGAAGACACAGCGAGAGATTCAGAGCGAGTAATTAAAGAAATGAACAATGAAATGGGGGTTTCTTCGTTCTCTCACCGGAGGCAGACCATGAACAGGGGAAAACAGAGATTCCATATCTTTAAATCAAACAGGATGAACAGATGAAGATGAAATTCGTTATAGGGAGGGATCTCTCTTTTTTTTTTATGTTTCTCTTGACATTAGTGTTAGCAATGGCGACGAACAAGAAAACTACAGTAGAAGCAATGGAGACGAGCGGAAATGGACAAAGGAGAAGCCAAATATGTACACAGAGATAAACAAAAACACACAGCCTAATAAGAACAACACCAAATGACATTAACCCAGAACAGATAAATCTGCAAAAATGAAAGGGGTTGTGGTTAAGAAGCAGCTGGAGAAATGGTTATTGTGGTGTTACCCCATCTCGCTTGTGAATAAGCTTGTGTTCCGCCGAGGCTCGATTCCCTCTGCTAAAACTGGGCTGCCCTTTGCTGTTGTAGTTGACTCCGCCGCCGTCTCTCTTCTGGGGCGAGGAGGAAGAGAAGAACCCAAATACTGACCCGGATTTGGACGATCCCATGAGGGAGCAAACGGGGACATTGAGAACGGGGGTTACCCTGACGTTAGCTGAATAGGACCTCTCCATCCCTCTGTGTTTGTGCCTTGGACCGCCATTGAAGCTACTTGGACTACTGGAACTCCTCTCCAAGCTCTGGAACACGATTTTCCCAGAAGAATTCAGCCGCGGGCTGTCTATTGAGACTCCCCTGCTCTCGCCGCCTGAATCTCCTCCACCTGCTCCGGCGGCAGTTGTCGCTCTGCGAATCGGACTCCTCCCAACTCTGGTTTCCCCTCCAATTTCGGCGGCTCGCGGCTTCACCATTCTCATCCGCGGCGGGTTCTGATTGCGATTGAGGACGAACGGGTTCGGACTGTGCAAGGAGTTGAATGTCAGGCTCAAATTGGAAGCGGCGTTGGGCTTCTCCGAATCGAGAGAGAGCCTGGGGAGATCTTCGTGCTCGTGGCTGGATGAGGAGGATGAGAGTGATAGGCGGGAGGAAGAGAGGGAAACCGACGATTCGCAGTCAAGGTCTGCTTTCAGCAATGGAAGACTCAGGGTGCCGTCGAGCGACGAATTGGAAGAGGAATTGCCGCAGCTGTTGCAGGATTTAGAGCTTCTATGGAGGAAATGCCTCAATGATTTCTGGTTATTATTGGAAGAAGACGACGAGCAAGAGGAAGAAGACGACGAGGAGGAGGAGGAAGGAAACGACGCCGCCTTGGAGCTGTTGTTCTGGTAAAACTTCTTCAGCCCCAGAATCTCTTTCCACCGGCTCGAGCATCGAGGCGCTTTCGGCGAGAACAAGTACTGGTCAGTTGTACTGTTGATCCCGACAGGTATCTCCATCCTCCGGCCAGATTTCGCCTCCGCCGTCTCCGTCGTAGTTGCGATTCCCGGCAAACACTCAGCTGAAGTCGTCGTCGACGACGAAGGCTTCGAGTTCGAGCTCGTGACCTGCATCGGCACCAGCTTCCCGTCGGAGAAGAGCTCGTCGGCGGGGAGCATAGCGACGGGGTCGTCGAGGCGGAACTCGAAGTCCGGGAAGAGATCTTGCTGCTGCTGATTCTCCGGTGGCGGAATCTCAGTCGCCGGAGGCGGAGGAGGTGGAGAAGGAGCCGGAGGCGGAGCTGGCTTGGAGGGCGGCGGCTGTTTGTGATGGTGGTGTTTAGACAAGGAATCGTCCTCGCGGCTGAATGAGATGCGAGGACTCAGCCAGCCGTACGAGGAGTACGTCCCCGGCGGCGGGAAGCTCTCCGACGAAACGCTGATGTTGTTGACGCAAGCTGAAGCCATTTTTTGATTTCCAAACGATCATGCGAGAGAGCAGAAAAATGAGATCCAGGTGGAGATTTGAATGAGCAATGCGGAAGGGGTCAGGTTGATTAGAAGCTCGCCGGCGTTGAGATCTCGGGAGCAGGAGATCTAGAGAGAGTGTTTGTTAGGGTTTGGGAGATGGACGGATGGGGAGAGTGGAAGAAGCTCTGAAATGAATTTATCCGAAGTGGGGAGCGTACTGGCGGAGAGAAGGAGATCGCGGTGAATAAAAAGGAGCGGGATGAATTACATGAATGGTCACCGAATTTCTGGGTCTTTGGTAGATTAGCCATTGAAGTTAAATGGTTAACAAAGTTTTCACTAAAGTTTAAAATAACTAAAAAAAATTAAATAATAGTAATGTTTGGTAAATAATCGTATGGAGTAATAACAAGAATTATTGTACCAAAAACCAAGCTGGAATAGCTCAGTTGGTTAGAGCGTGTGGCTGTTAACCACAAGGTCGGAGGTTCAAACCCTCCTTCTAGCGAAGTTTATATTTCAATTTTTTACATAATTTTTCAAAACAAAAAGGAAATTAACGACAAAATGTCATATGGAGCATAATGATCTGTGTGAATAAAAAAATTTAATTCGTATCCGACCAAAAACAAAACTCTTTGCTCGACTCAATCTTGACCTACATTTATGAAATTATCATAACTTTATCCTTCCTTCACTTATAATATAGCTATATGGAGATGTTTAACCGCTCCTTCTAACAAAGTTTAAGGTTTATATATGTTTGTTTTTTCATCATGTGATGCTTAACGGATTCGATCCATAACCTCCAAGTTGAAGATCGGTGATAGTATCACAATACCAAACTTTTATTCACCGTTTATATTTCAAGTTCATGACATCTTGACCTACATTTATGAAATTATCATAACTTTATCCTTCCTTCACTTATAATATAGCTATATGGAGATGCTTAACGGATTCGATCCATAACCTCCAAGTTGAAGATCGGTGATAGTATCACAATACCAAACTTTTATTCACCGTTTATATTTCAAGTTCATGACATCTTGACCTACATTTATGAAATTATCATAACTTTATCCTTCCTTCACTTATAATATAGCTATATGGAGATGTTTAACCGCTCCTTCTAACAAAGTTTAAGGTTTATATATGTTTGTTTTTTCATCATGTGATGCTTAACGGATTCGATCCATAACCTCCAAGTTGAAGATCGGTGATAGTATCACAATACCAAACTTTTATTCACCGTTTATATTTCAAGTTCATGACATAATTTTTCACCAAGATAAAAAAAAATAATGATAGACCAAGTCATATGGAGCATAATTATTTTTGTGAATAATAAACTTTGCTTCATATCCTGTCAAAACAAAACTCTTTACCAGAATAATTCCATCCTACATGTTATGAAATTATCATAATGTTATCCTCCCCATACTTTATATCTATTTGGAGAAGCTTGTGTTTCCTCCTTCACTTAATGGTCTTAAAAATTGAGCCAAACGTACCATGGAAGTTGTTTCCACGATATTGAGTAAAACCATTAGCCAACTGAACTATCTTTAAACTATCAATCGAACCATCCTACATCGTTTTCTTTTAGAAACTCCCAAGTAAATATTATGTTAGTTACTCAAAATTTTGGCGTCAAAACGCTTAGAAATCAAAGCTCAATGGCCGGTTTGTTTAGGATCTAAAGTCCAGAGATCATTCTGGAAAATGTTCACGCCAGAGCTGGTGTTGGACACATGACTTGCGTTTATTGTATTCTTTTGCTTTGTCAGGCTTTTATGCGCTGCCGTTAACAAAGAATTAAAGACAAATATATGAGAAGAAATGGGTTTCAACCAGCGGGTTGGGTTGGGTTGGGTGGGTTTTAGTTTTAAATTGTTCCATTCACTTATTAGCGGGTTGGAATAACTGTGACCCGCAATCACTCATTGTGTGACGGTCGGGTTATTTTTGGGTGGATCGATATCAAGGTTGTCAAACCGGTTTATGCCAGTGTGCCGGTTTAGCAAGTGGAATGGTTCAACCGGTGGCACATACCGGTTTGTGCCGGTTCATGCCGGTCAATATTACAAATAAAATTATAAATACTCGTATTTAAACATGACATTTAACGTCAATACCTAAACATTTATACTTGAATCCAACAAATAACATCAATATTTAACTTTTATACTCATAAAATAAATAATAAACTAATTTTCATCAATTAAATTCTCTAAAATAAGATCATTTTACTTAGAGATTCGTATATCGATCATGCCGGTCATACCGGTGGTGTCACGCCGGTTTTATGACCGGTACCGGTTGAACCCGGTACAACCGGTGGCACGCCGGCCGGCGTGACAACCATGATCGATATCAATCTACGGATTAATCACTCACGTGCCCATCCCTAGGTTTCACCATCACCTATGCCTGAACTTTGAGGGGTTGGTCCGTTGAGTATAATTTTGATTTTGTAACACAATAATTAACGTAGATTAAATTTTAATCACCAACAATTCAAAAAGAATTCTAAGACTTTGTTTGGTCCATACAGGACTTCATCGAACCGAATCAACATTTGGACTGGATTATAACAAACCAAATTTATTGCAGTATGGTCCTATGAACTCTATAAGTATTAAAGAAAATATACCAAATTCACATTTGGACCCCTATATGATCAGAAGCACATTCCAGCTCTCAAATTGGATAATTAGAAAATTATTAATATGGTATTGACGGTTCACGATTCATGCAAATTATCCTAATATCTCCCATTATTTTCACAATTTATTAGCACTATTTTACCTAGTTTGATTGATCCAAACGACAAGGCGGTGCTAAGTCTCGATTAAAACTCGATTGAAAGATATTTTCTTCTTTGCATGTCGAATAGACAAATATACGTGAATGACCCGTGGTAATAATTTTACATTATCTTGTGCTTTATAGAAGGAACACACCCTTGTGTTAAGTTGATTGTTAACTAGTTTGGAGGAGATGTCGAGTGTTCGAGTCATTATTGTGGGTTATATTATGTGTCTATATACGTGTATGGAGCAGACTTGAAAAGTGAGAAGATGATAGTTAGAATTACTCAATTACGCAACCTAGGTCCCGACTTTGCCATTGTATGTATACATGTATAAATTTTGATGTAAACGCTATGCAATATGCCCAACCTACTGACCACAATGACATAGAATGTGAGGGGTACCAAATCCTACTATTAGGTTTTGGCGGTTTATTGAAGATTGTTCAAAATCGGTGGTCATTCAAATATGTAGGGTTGATGTGGACTTAATAAGCTCTAGTCTAAGCATATAAATTTCCCCAAGTACAAAGTCTAGGTTGGGCGGCTCTCTAGCCATATACCACAGACCACAAGTCACAATTCAAATTCGGCAGGACGTGCAAACTGGATTTGGGTTGGACCAAATTCAGTGTAGTTGATCACTAAAAGCACCAACCAAACTAGTTTATGTCTCTTTCTTCGCGTGGCCTGCCAATAGTGGAAACCCTCAAATCGATCATATCCAAAATTTCATAGATTTTGAGATCTACTCCATTTAATCCCATCTTTTAAGTTTGGATCTCTCTGTTATCACTTTGAATGGATTGCAGTTATGTTACGAATCGCAATTGCCTCCCTCGATATGCATGAGCTGACGGAACCTTTCACTTCTTTTCCACCCTCGCCGACGTACAACAACATTGGTGTCTCCTTTCGAGTGACTATTGCCTTTACTTTTGAGTCTTTGGGGATACACCGAGGTTTTAACATTTGGTAGCTTGTTTCTTGCATGAAAACGCTCATAATCCTAAATTATGAGTATTGTTGATCATAACTCAATTCTTGATATCCAATGATCGATATAGAGACATACACCTATGGGTATTATCCTAATCTCATTGTTATCTCTTTCGAAATAAACTTGCCATAATTTACCAAATTAATCTCCATGTACGTAGAGAAAGAAAACTTATTATCGAAATAAAAAGTCTATTACCAAACTATCAAAATTTTCAGAATGCATGAATTTGCATATCCACCAGTGGTATATTGGAGGATTCTTTTGAAGGATCATTATTGATACATGAATTTTTTTTCATGTGAGTCGTATCTCAATGAGGTGTCCTCCAAAATCGATCCACCATTTAGTTGGCTGCTTACTGTTCCCAACTGTTCCCCGCTTTAGAGGGAAGCGTGTACTAATGGAATTTCTTCAAGCAAATAATTGACGGGTCAATTATATGGGGAGTGCGTTATTATCTACATCTATTTGTTGGAGACTGTCAACGTAGTAGATAATAGATATTGGAGACTGTCAACGTAGCCCAAATTGTTTATAAACCGTATAATATTCATAATTGAATATTTTTTAACAAATTGAATTATTGGATCAACTGATTTTTGACATTGTATCAAAGCTTTCTACAATCGAGAGTTCTCTCCCCCTCGTGCTCAATGGTGTTTCTTCTTAGTGCCTCAGGCTCCTTATCTGTAATCTTCTGGAGCACCTTGAAAGGCCCATATTTTCGCGGCTGAAGCTTGGAGTACGTACCAACAGGGAAACGTTCTTTACGTAGAAACACCCTCACATCATCGCCTTCAGCAAACACCTTATGGCGCCTGTGAGCATCGGCGACAGCCTTATTACGTTGTCCTGTAGCCTCGAGCTTCACCCGCACAACATCCTTAACAGCCTGAACATCTCTTGCCATGTTTCCAGCAGCCTGACTCACTCCCGGGGCGCGGAGCAACTCCACCAGATCAATCACCTGCCGTGGCGGAGCGATGTAAACGAGCGAGAAAGGTGACTTGCCTGTAGCCGAATGTACGGCGCTGTTGTAGGCGAATTCGACCTGGGGTAAGGCCATATCCCATTGTTTCGGTTTATCCCCACACACACTACGGATCATGTTACCCAAAGTCCGGTTGGTTACCTCGGTTTGCCCATCGGTTTGAAGGTGAGCTGTAGTGCTTCGGTTCAACGCGGTACCAAACATCCGCCATAAAATGATCCAAAAATGACTAAGAAACTTTGTGTCACGATCGAAAGTGATAGACTTGGGAACCCCAAGCAAGCGGACGACTTCCTTGAAGAAGAATCTGCAGCTTGGTCCGCCGCTATCGTTCCCCAGCCGCCCACCGACCTGCTGCTGTTTCTTTTTCCAACACACATGCAATTTCCTTCGTTCATTTCAAGCATTTATTCAAGAACAATGAAAGTCTGGACGGGGCACCAAAGATCAATCAATTTCCGACTTCTTATCATCCACCCTAGCGTTCATTTCATTGTAGAATCAATCGATGATTAAAATTAAAAATTCCCAGCCATTCCAAGGCAACAAGGCAACACCCAAGATTTTTTCCCGAAGCTAACTACAGAAGCCAACAATTACCATTCCAATTTTGCAGTAGTTTGTTAGTAAACGGTATATGATACACGATTGAACCTCTCCCATCAACTCGAGTTATTGGGATTAACTGGTTCTTGATATGGTATCAGAGCCTTCTGTGACCGTGAGGTCTTCTGTTCGAATCCCGGTGACCCCCATCTGTTTCCGTTTCTGTTAAGCACACGGTGTCCGGACCTGTGCCTGTCCAAACTCCAAGCCTGTATGAATGGCTTGAGTTTGAAGGGGGGTGTTAGTAAACGGTATATGATCCACGATTGAACCTCTCCCAACAACTCGAGTTATTGGGATTAACTGGTTCTTGATATAGTTAACTACTTATGATTATCTGAAAATGTAACTAATTTGCAGGGAAAAGTGAAAAGAGAATTTAACTGGCGCGACGATGAATGAGTTCAGGAGGCATGCAGCAAATCGCTAGTCTTGAAGAGGCAAATCGATTAATGGTGGCGGCACGGTGGGCAGGGGGCGAAGTAGTGGTGGTCAATTAAGGATATTTAAATCATTTTAATGATGGTTAGGGCAAATAAGAAGTTTTAGGGGGACGAGTAGCAACCTTTTTTTCTTTTTCCGCTCCCTTCTTCCCCCATCCTATTCCTAACCAGAGTAGTACACGGCGGAAATTAGGTCGATTTCAGATCCACCTTCCTCGCCCGAAATTACAAGGTTCGTTAACGTCGTCGTCTTCTTTTCATTGTTATTATTTTGAGCTAGCGACATGCCCCGGGGGCCGGGCATCGTGGTGGAAGAGGATTTGTGCCTGCTGGAGTTCGTGCAGTTGCTTTTGGACCACTACGAGCAAGAGCGTTTTCTGGAACAGATAAGGAATCAAACCCCCTGGAACTGGAAGTTCATCGACTTCGAACGCCGTCAAAGGCGGCTGCTCCGTGGGCACACTGAGTGCGGAAGCTGCATAGGGAAAGAAGAGGCCACGGTCACCATCCGCTTTTTTCTGGGGTGCCGCATCTTCTTGGAGGAGCAGGCCTTCTTTGGTGGGATCAACTTCGACCCTCTGCTCACCAATCTGTTTCTGTTCCCAGTCGCTGGTGTCGTCGCCATCGCCTTGAGCGAAACCTGCACCGCGCCCCTCAACCGCATCACTATACTCTCTCAGCTCGGCATGTTAGGAGAAGAAGAGGTCGTGAAAGATGGGATTAGGAGGAGGAGGAGGACGAGCATGTCAGAGCAGGCTGCTCAGATTGTTGAGCAAGAGGGCGGTCGCTATGCAGCGCTTTGGAGGGGCAACTTGGTTTCAATTGCTCATCGTCTCAGTTTTTACAGCATCAACATCTTTGCCTATCTTGGTTTCAGGGCGCTACTCATGGTATATCTCTTTTGTCCGCGGATTAGCTAACACTATTAGTGGCGACCCTCGTAAATTTGTGTGTTCTTTCGTTTGTTTTCTTATATGCATGGCTTTTGCTTGCAGTGGAGTAGTGTGGCTATGAAACCTGCGTCTTTGGCACTTGTGAGTGGAGGATTGACTGCATTCACCGCCACCTCTGTTTCGCATCCTCTGGATACCTTGACAACACGCATAATTGCACTACAGGTAACTAGCTGCCTACCAGCTCTGGGATATGTTATGGTTAATAGGCCAGGCTGCAAACTAGCCGCGCTGAGTCGAGTTTTTGCTGATGTCGGAGCTCGGTTCGTTTATATAACTTTCAGCTCGAGCTTGTGCTCAGCTTGGAATAAAAAATAATCTAGCTCAAGATCGCGACTTGGTAGAGTTTGGTAAATGCTCATTAACACAACTTATCAAGTAGAGTACAAGCTCGGCTCAAGATGAGCTCGATTTGAAATTATTCGTACTAAAAAAAATGTGCGAACATTAGAATTTAGATGATAAAAAAAGAGCCCTCTATAAACTAAAAACTATAGTTAACTTTCATATACATCCGTATTGAGAAGATAATGTCCATGTGTTAAGAGTAATTAATCCTTCCACAAGCTCAAAACAAACCAGCGCGCGAGCGTAGCTCAACAAGCCCTCGAGTCAAGCTAGCTCACGAGCTTATCAAGCCGAGGATGGTCTAGCTCAAGCTTGGCTCGTTTACTAACGAGTCGACTTGTTAAATAACGACTCGAGTGTTGAACTAGTTTATTGGATTCAAACGCCGCACGAGTTGCTCGTAAGCGACATGGCTCATTTGCAGCCCTAATTGTTAAGAAATAGATTTAGTCGATCCTACTCTTACTAGCTAGAACGAGCATTCAGCTGGTCTTTCTTACTAACTACTTTTACTGCCTTTATTATTGATCTAGCCAAGTAAAAGTAAACGTCAGGAGAGATCCCGATATGCTGGACTGTCGGCCTCATTATTGGTGGGCTCTCTTGAATTTTCACCTCAGCTCGCTTCTTGGTAGCTTCTCCTACGAGTATTAACATAGATATATGGCAAATTTCCTTGTTGTGTGTGGTGCAGAGAATCGTTCCATCCATGGCAATTACTTTTACTGTATATGAAGGTCTCTCATTTGCACTGAGTAGACTAAGGTAAGAAACCAAACTTTTCTTGTTTGCCATTACACACAATGTTAGTTTTTATTGATGTATGGCTTTGCAGCGTTCCTTGTCTAGCTTTTGATACAATCATGATTCCAGGCCAAATGGTTCTCTTTCTATGACCGCCATTGTTGGCGGCACTATTGCTGGCCTTGCTGCGTCGGCAGGTATAAGAAATGACTGACTGACTGACAACACTTGGAATACATCATCACAATGCATAGGCTATTAATATTATATAACTGTGTGCGTGTGGATTTTGCTGTTTTTGGTAATATATGCAGCAACATATCCCATCGATCTTGTGCAAAAGAGAATGCAATCAGAAGACGGCGGCCGAGAACGTGAGGGGAGGAGAAGGAGAGGAGTATGGCAGATGTTTGGCCAAATCATTGAGGAAGAAGGCGTTGAGGGAATGTACAAAGGCATTCGACCTCATTGCTTCAAGACGGTTCTTGGTCTTGCAACTGCCCTCGTCACGTATGAGATTGTCAAAGTTGCTTCATACATTGCATTAAGAAAACCCTTACTTTCCTTAGCAATGAAATAATACAGAGCGTTTATAAAAAAAAACAAATTCTCACTTATTAGATCCATGCTATCGTTTCATTTTGTTTATTTAAAACATCTACTTTATAATTGATTGATAATATATATTGGTTTCAGACTCTAATTATTCTGGTTCTTTCTTCAAATACCCAATGTAGAAGGCTTCCAAATGGGATTTATAGAGTTTTAAGTGTGATTGGTATATTAATCTAACCTCACTCATCACTCCAGACAAAATGGTCAACGTGTGATGACTCCATGAATACTCTCGTTCTCTTAGCCATTGTTCAAATCTAGGGATGACAATATTACTCATAACCATGGGTATTTTACTATCCAGCCCAATTGGGTTGGGTATGGAATCCAAATAGATGTTAGATGGGGTAGAGTTTGATGAATTTGTACACATATCCATTTACTTGGGTTGAGTTTTTAATATATGGAATTGGGTTTGTACCCATGCGGCCATGCCCAAATGCAAATTACAGTTTGGTACCTAAACTTAATAGTTATGCATATTTAGTACCTAAATTAAATTTTTTTGCATATAAGTCCACAAAATATGATTGAAAAATTATATTTTACTACCTAAAATTTTTTGGTCTCACATTTTGGTGCCTAAACTTTTCAAGTTTTACAAATAGGTCCAATTTTTGTATTTGTAATTAAAACACCTTCAAGTAAATGGATATCCATATCCAACCCATACCCATTTAGATAATATCCATATCTAACCCAAACTCATACACACATCACCCAAACCCTACCCATAATAAATGGGTCTACTTGGATTTGGGCAAAATTACACATGGGTGGGTAAATTTCCATCTCTACTGAAGAACACAAACGTGTTTTTTTTTTTTTCACTAGATAAGAAGATCAAATGATCTCCCATGAGTACCAATGTCTCACATTTTGAGCTTCGGTGTATTATTTATTATTTTTCGTGTTCGATTTCTAACATTATTATGACTAATTTAAGGTGGTTGTCGCAAGAAGGGGAGTTCCATTACTCCTTTAGACCACCTCTACCCATGATGGCGATTCATTTCATTTGTATGCAGAGATTGCTACAAGTATGGGAACAACAGTAATAGCTAGGGTTAATTGCATGGTTGGTCATTGAGATTACAAAAAACGTTCAAGTTGGTCACTCGAAATTAGGGCTGGCAGACGGTTTTCCGGTTAGCGGTTAACCGGTCGGTTTCAACCGAACCGACCGGTTTTCGGCTAGCCGAAAAATCGACTCCAATTACAACGGTCGGTTGGCGGTGGGGAATGGTAGGGGTTCGGCTAGCCGACTAACCGGGGTCGAAAACCGGCGGTTAACCGGCTAATCGACCCCTTCCCTTTCCCCAAAACGACCCGCTTCAATCCTCCTCCCTCAACCCTATTTCGCTTTCCTCTGAACCAGAAACGACCCCTACCCCCTCTTTCGCTTTCCTCTGAACTAGAAACGACCCCTTCTCCTCCCTTCTCAAACTCGACCTCCCTTCTCAAACTCGATTTCATTTTCTTCTCCCTTCTTCGATTTTGCATGCGATTTCATTTTCTTCTCCCTTCTTCGCCGCTCAACCCTTCCGCCGAGCCCTCCTTGGTCGTCGATTCCGGCATCGGCGGAGACGCTGGCGGTTCTCGTCGGGACGCGGTGAGCGCGGGCGCGGCGGAGACGCTGGTGGACGCGGTGAGCGCCGGCGCGGCGGAGATGCTGGTGAGGGCCGGCGCGGCGGAGACGCTGGTGGACACTGGACAGGCTGCCTGGAAGGAGAGAAGAAGAAGTTGTTTGTGTGGCGGAAGGAAGGAGAGAGAGAGGTGAGGGTAGGAGGGAGGCGATTTCGGGGAGGCAAAGGAAGAAGAGGATCGAGATTTCAGAGAGAGTAGGGAGAGAGATAGGCTTTCGTTTTTCTCTGGAAACTGAAAAGGAAGAATAATTTTTGGGAGAGAGAGTAGGGAGAGATTCGAGAGAGAGTAGGGAGAGAGATTCGAGAGAGAGTAGGGAGAGAGAGAGGGCCGATGGATAGGACTCTTAATGAGTGGTGCAGGATTTTCGTTTTTAATTTTTTTTTTTTAGAGGTAATTTCCGGTTGGCCGGCTAACCGAGCCTAAAACCGAAACCGGCCGGTCGGTTAGCCGGCTAACCGTACCCATTCTCACGGTCGGTGGTCGGCAGGGGTGCAGGGTGGCTCGGTTTAACCGCTAACCGGAATTTCGGTTTTCGGTTAAACCGAAACCGACCGACTGCCACCCCTACTCGAAATATTTAAATTCATTGGTGGTACTTCAGTTTAGTGAAACCGTTCACGTTTGGTCACTCTCCGTCCAACTCCGTTAACTTTTGTTTACGTGACAGTCAACGCTAAAAATTTACCGTTAAATGTGTGATAAGAAATTTAAAAATAATAAATTTTTTAAAATTGTCATCTCATTTCCACCTCATTATCACATTTTTCTATTATCCACCAGTATGCCATTTCTCCTGCTACTCAAGCATATTGTATTTGCGAACAATAGAGTTTTTTTGTAAGGCTTTTATCCTTCTTAATGGATCTCCCTCCAGTTTACACTAGTCACTTTAATTATGTGAATGGTTTTACATATTTGAATTAAGTATGATTACTTTTTTGTTGTGGTTCACTTGTTCATTTGTTGGATGCTCAACAGTTTGCAAAATCACAACAAACCTTTCGTATTACATCGCTTTTTTCATTTGTCACCACTGATATTACAAATACCATAATGACATATTGCTTAAACTGTTTTCGGCCAACGGACCGGACTATAAGCTAGTATCATTATATAGTACGAAATAGTACCACCCATGATAAACAACATTGTTTATTATTGCATAATCAGAGATGATTATGCACCAAAACCCATACTCTAGTTACTAATTACTCCTCTACACCCTCTTGAAGCGGAAGGGAAAAGCGGGGCCATCCAGAGCCAGGAACCTACCACCTTCCCTCATCAAAATGCCGGCAGCTCCGCACCTAGGCCCGCCTTCGCAGCTCGCGATCTGGTACGCGCCGCCGGTCGCCGTCGCGTTGATCCTGAAGTACGACGGCAGCCCTTCCGTCGCGACGAACCTCCTCCCGGTCTCCCCATCCTCCACGCCGATCCTCCACGACGTGGACCTCGCGCAGGTCGTGGCGACGGAGAATGTGGCAACCACGTCCCTCGCTTCTCTGACGACGTCCTCGCCCGCCGTCACGGGAGAGAAGTGGACCGGGAGCCCCTCGGACGGCGCCGCTTCCGGGGGCTCCTGGGCGACGTAGAGCGGGCAGCGGTTCGGGCTGGGCAGCGAGGCCAGGGTCAGCCCGCCGGCTGGGTCGGTCGCGGCGGCGGCGGCGGGTAGGATGTGGTAGTCTGTTCCGCGCATCACGGGCTGCCCGTCCGTGTCTAGGACCGGCGGGGACGACTGATCGTCGGCCGCGGCGGACGTGGTGATGATGTAGAGTAGCCATGCCAAGCTCATCATCATGGTGGTTTGGAGCGTTCTTGTAGCCATGTTTTATGGGTTTGGTTTTTTTAGTTTTAGCAATCCTCTGCGTCGGATTTGCCCTTCTGTTACATCTACGGTTGTATATAAACACATATATTCAATAAAGAGCAACTCGAGTTTTCTGAGACACTTTCATACACTAGACTAATGGATGAATTTATTGAAAGGAGGGTAATCTCGCCTAATAAAACTAATTTCGCCCACTACAACATTGATTAATATAGAGCATTTAATTGATTTTATTAAGGTCAATCCAACTTACCTCAATAAATCAGTTGGGACTTTAATTTATTGCGACGCGAGGGTTGGCAACTCCGTTTACAAGAGTGTTTTGGGGCACCGATCGCGTCACAACTTTTAAGGAATTTTCATTTTTCACAACTATTTCAAAAAGCGTACCACTTCATCTAGTAATGCTATAAGATGGACTGATATGCTACTAGAAGAGGTTGTGATGGGATCTCATCCAGTGTTTTGGCGAAGTTGCAGAGTAATCAAGCTCGTTGTCTCGCTTTATTGAAACTCATGGACACGGAGATCATGTTGGGAGTTGGAAGGAATGTGCCTATTTGGTTACAAGATTTGGACGGGGTGATCCATGAACGTTTGACATCAGTGTTCGGTCATCAAGTCTTCACAAACATGGCTTTACAAATTACAACAAGAAACCTCCTTTTTACAAGCAACAAATCATGAAAAATGATGAAGGACAAAGTTTATGTTCCTTCAGAACTTCCATAAAATTAGAACAATGCAGAGAAGCTCCAGAGACAAAGTTTTTTTATTTTATTATTATTATCATGTATGATTTTATGAATGGTGAGATGTTGCAATCTAGTTATGCTCCTAACAGGGTATTTTGTTAGGAGATACTGACATGGCTGGATGGGCCTCCACGTCGCCAAGCCGCCATCCATCGGTGGAGGAGAAACGCGTTGGCCCGTGTGAGAGATGAGAGCCGATTCCTGGATAGTTGTTTTATTGGATCTGGGTATTTGTCTTTGCAGGTGATTTATCTATGGCAAAGACTAAAACGAGCGGGAAAAGAGCGCCACCGACTTCACCCCCTCCTTTTCTATTTTTTTATGTAGTTATACTTTTTTAGATTTTAGATTATGGGATTGCCAAGTTGGAATGACAATAAATACTAGTTGTATCGCAGTTTATCGAAAAACGACTTTGTTTTATTATGAATTTGCTTAAACTAAATATCAACACAAACAAACATAGATAAACATCCACAAAAAAAAAAAAACAAATGCAAACCACCCAAAATAATATCCGTTCACCATAAACAAAATCCAGAACACCCAGACTAATATCCCACCGCCTAATACCAATATCGAGTCAGCCCGTAATCAATATCTTCACCATACAGACTAATACCCACCACACACAGATTAATATATGGATGTCTTAGCCTAATATCCGGCTACACAGCAAAAATATCAACACATCATGAACTAATATCCTCCAATCACATAATAATATCTTATCACCACACACTAAAATTGATCACCCTACATTGTGTTCAAAATCATTTCCACAATATTGTCTTCTAAACCCGAAACCAAAACTCAAACCCTATACCTGAAACCCTAATCGTAGACACTAAACACAAAGCTTGAACCCTGAACCCTTAACTCTAAACCTCAACCCCAAAGTCAAATCCTAAATCATAAACTCCAAACCCTAATTCTAAACCCTAAAGTCAAAACCCTAACACTAAACCCTAAATTGATGTAATCATATACAAATCAGTAGATAAACATCCACACAGAACAAATATCCAAACTACCCAGACTATTATCTCACCTTAGCAAACTAATACCCACCATACACATATTAATATCTGTCCATCACATACTAATACCCACCACACACAGATTAATATCTGACCATCGCAGACTAATACCAACTACACATAAACTCTAAACCCTAATCGCTAAACACTAAATCCTTAACCCTAAATCCTAACCGCTAAACCGTAAATTGGTGTAATATGGTTGGCTAAGTGTGTGATGCTAGATGCTAAAATAAACAAAGGATCACATCTGAATAGTTACCAGAAGTGCCCCAATATCCGTACTACATAAAAAAATTTCCACATCACCCAGACTAATATTCATTCCTACCATAAAAAATATCTGCAACACCCAGACTAATATTCGTTTTGCCCATAATAAATATCCTCACCAACCCTAACTAATATCCATCGGTTACAAACAAATATCCTGCTACACAGCCAAAATATCCACACATCGCCAACTAATATCCTCCGATCACATAATAATATTTTATCACCACAGACAAAAATCGACTACCCTACATTGTGTTCAAAACCATTTTCACAATATTGCCTTCTAAACCCGAAACCCTAATCGCTAAAAACTAAATCCTTAACCCTATTAGAATATCCAAAAGTCCAAGAAAATTTCGAAAACATGAACTAATATCAACTCAAACCTAAGCTATACCCTAAACCCTTAACATAAAACCGTAACACAAACTCTAAACCATAAAACTATTATTATTTAATGGGCCTTCGGCCCATGGGCCCTCGGCGGGCAGCCCTAACTAAGGTTGCAAGCCTTAGGTGTTAGGACTTCCTAGTGTGTTTAATTTCCTTTTTTTTTGAATAATATGTGTTTAATTTCCTAGTGTGTTTAATTTGATGTAAGAAACAATATTCCAATCCTTCACAATGATTCAAAGTAATATCAACATAACACATAATAATATCCACTGAAAACAAATAAATATCCAAACAAACATACATATATATCACATGGGGCCCAAAAATTTCATTCTCTTTCCACTCCAACCCAAAACTGGCGCCCAAACTGAAGCCGGGCCCACCACGCTTTCCACTCCAAACCAAAATCCCGCCCAAACTGATCCCTGGCCCACCAGCCACGAACTCGGCTCGCCTTCTGCGCCGGCTTCTACATGGAAGCCCATCTCCAGCTCATTTAAGTGAGCCACCACTCTCCTCCATTGGATGAAGCCCAAGCACACGTGGCCCAAAATCTGACCCTATCAGTATCTCCTAACATAATGGCCTATTAGGAGACTAACTTTTTCGGAGATGTTGTTACTTCTACTCTTTCTTGTTCCCAAGAAATGGCAGTGGTGCCCATCATCGATGTCCATGCGACATGAGACACAACAATGGGGGAGCAATAGAAGTGCAAGTGGAAGGAATGCAAAACAATATAATATTTTTGATATTCGAAATTATTATGATATTCGAAATTTTACGTATTATTAATTATTATGATATTCGAAATTATTTATATTTTTGGAACGATGACAAATCATGTTTTTGAAAAAGTTTGATTCGCTAAAACCATTATTTACTTGTCAAAATCCCAACCGATTATCTATTTAGGCTTGAGTTACAATTACTTGTCAAAATCTCTACATTATCACTAAACCATCCCTTTGGAGTTGTCTGAGTAATACTTAAGTCGAGAACCATACTCAAATTTGTAGTTCATGAGACTCATGACTCAACTTATATCCATTCAGGGGCGGAGGTAGCTAGTAGTTAGGGTGTTCCATGGCACATTGGTACACCTTTAGATTGAGACTATAAAATAAAAAAATAGGGGTATTAGTTTATGCTACAGTTAGGATTTGACATGGAACCCCTTGTTATTAGCTTTGGCATCTTCCATTAAACCACAATTACTTACGTGATACACTAATACGTTTTATTGTATACATATAATTAATTTACCATTTATAAATAACAAGTAAATTAAATTAAAAAACTCATAATTGTATCCTTATTTAGTCAGTAATCGAAAAAGTTATATCTATGAGATGAAGAGAGATAAGAGGTTCACTGGAGTAAAGGGGATTGCAGAGCTTTCTAGCAAGATGGTTTCTACAAAGCGGCATCTAAAATTTCCATCTGTGTATCTTCTTGTCAAGTTATAATTGTTGCTACCAGCCGCCACTGCGAGTGTTGATAGAGTATTTTCGACAATGAACCACGTGAAGAACACTCTTTGGAGTCGAATGAGTGACGATATCACGAATGATATTTTCATAGGATACATTAAGAGTGACATTCTTGATAGTCTGGAGGATGAATGTATTTTACAGACTTTTCAAACTATGAGAACCCGTCGTGGGTCACTATCAAAAAACAATACAGGTATACGTTATAACATAGTGAACAGTCCAAGCTAACTCCTAACATTCGCCCTCCCCTCATCCTTTTCAACTAGCTATACCATAAACATTACGAAAAATCGAGCTGATCAGGGAGGTGGAGGAATGGAGGAGATCGTTGGGATGGTCGGAATGGATGGAATCGTTGGGATTGTGGGAATCGTCGGAATCGTTGGAACTGATGGGTTCGATGGCATGCCAGGAATTGATGGAATCGATGGTATCCCGGGAATCTGAGGGAACGGTGACGACGAGCCACCGCCACCGCCACCACCTACAGTTGGAGTAGTGGGGATGCCGGGGATTCCGTTGGGAGGCAGAGCGGTGGGGATAGTTGGTATTCCGCTCGGAGGCAGAGCAGTGGGGATGTATGGCATTGTGCTCGGAGGCAGGGCAGCCGACGGATGGCGAGGCTCCGATGGATGGTGAGGGTGATGTCGAGCCTCGGTGCAGTGTTCGAGGAAGAAGACTGCGACGAAGAGAACGACGATGAACACAGGAAGGGAGCTTCCAAGTGCCATTGCTGAATGTTTTAAGTTTTGCTGTGAACTGTGGGAGGGTGATGAGATGAGGACTGAGGAGGGTTGTATTTATAATGGAGTGGCGAGAAGAATAGCTTTTCCAATACGGCATAGAGATCAGAACGTTTGCGTTGGGGCAAAAGGAAGGCTAAACAGTAAACACCCTTTTGCTATTTTTGTTCGTGTTGGAGACTTGACCATCGCTATAGAGATACGAACGGTCTGTTGCTGGCAATATTGCCAGTAGCAAGTCTTCTGGTGAAGGTTTGACTTGGAGTCTAGTGTTTTTTTCTGTGTGCATGACTCAGTCTAATATCGATTCCCTGTGATTTGGTTCAAAGCACAGTGAAATGGACATGGGGAGACCTGTGGTTGAGAGGTGAGCACGGAGAATTATATCTCAAGGCAATGAGTTAAACCGTAAACGTCTATTTCGGGACTATAATGGCTACAGTCTTTACATTACCAGTCAACGAATAGCGAAAACAGGCAGAAGTAAAGAATAAAGGGTTATACTCTAATCTCTATTGTTGTGAAGTTGCAGGTCCTGCTTCCTAGACCTGAGTGCAGGAAGCTCTCCGACATGGTATTAGTCTGATGTATCTTGCTCAATGAAACGAAGGCTGGGAAATGGGAATACAGGAAGCAAACTGCCTTGATCTTTCAGTTCTCTTCACAGACTCCTTGGGTGTGCTCTATGGCATCCAGGATATGACAGCGATGGGGGGTTTATACGTGTTCATGGTGGGCACTGTTACTCGGGAATCCAATCAACAAAAGCACCAAACTCGTCGTTAATACGCGATTGTTAGCATTTTCCTTTCCTCCGTCATAATAGCAAAAACTTACGGATGTCAGACGGAGGAAATGGAAAATGTCAATTGTGTGTTATTAAGGCGAGTTTGGTGCTTTAACTGATGGCATGCAAAGTCTAACACCTTGGCCAGCAAGCAATGCTTCCCATTCCTGCACAATGACCCCTTTCAGTGCTCGATTCAGAAGCAAAGATGGAACTGCTACTCTGATTAAGCGACATATTATAAAGTTGAAGGAACCTCTATGTGACACATATTTATGCATGTATACCCTAAAAGTAAAATCTCCAAGGCATCAACTTAACCATGTTGCCTACTCAATGAATGTAAACAAACTCTTTCAAATGACTTTTGTACCAGAAAAAGGATTTTGCACTCAACCTATTCCAACTCTTAACAGCAAAGATGAACTTAAGCTCGTAGCTGACTGAACAACAGCAAGACTATAAGTATACCTTAGCTACATCAAGAGGACAAGAGAAGTGCCTGCGTGTTAATTGTTCGACTTCTTTGAGATCGGCAGATGTATAAAGTATGTATTAGCTAATATTATATTTCTATGGTCATTGGGAAATTGCCTGATGCAAAGGAGCTTCGGTTCACAAAGGCTGATGAAGGCACACATTTAATGTCTAGAATCAAAAGCAACTCTCACCCTCTTAACAATTCAAGCTGATCATGAACCAGAAATCACTACTATAGTAAAAACAATACCACTAAAGACTCTTTGAGGACAGAATGCACATCAAAGCTCAGAGACTCAATAGAGACTATGTACCTTTCGATCGGAAATCAATCCAATGTCAGGAAGTCCCCGAGCCAGTTTTCTCTGCAAATGGGAAACCACGTAATCAGTTGACAGCAAAGTGATTGACTGTCACAAACTAAATGCAGTGAAACAAGAACGACAGTTATGTTATGGCCTCCAAACTCCCATCAATCGCAATCTTTACTGATCCTTTTCACCTAGCAGAAGGTATCGAATTTCACCCTTATCGCTAATTCAGCTACCCACTGGAGCTGGGAACTACAACAAAGCCGGAGCAAATCGAAAAGCAGATACCTTGCTGCGTTCCCATAGACAGCGCGCGATCCATGTTATCAATGCGCCGCTGTATGGCTCTGAGCAGAGAGTTCAGGGACAAAACTCTCTTTCGGACGGCGGAAATATTCGCCGCGTGCTGCATTATGAACGGAAATGGTGCATCTTCCAGCAACCGATCGAGCTCTGGTCAAATTGAAGAATGTCACAGTCAGCAGTTTGTATCAAAATCCTTAATCAAGTCGAGAGAAAGAGAGGAAATGCTTCATTTTTACCTCCGGTGAGACGATCGAGGGAGGAATTGAGCTGGTCTTGGCTACTGAGCGTGGTTCGAGCTTGCGAATCGAAGTCCCTTATCACATTCGAGAGAATCGTGGATAAGCCCTTCGACAGTGTATCGCTGCTGCTGTTGTTCTCGAGCGTGCCCTCGGCGCCGTCTGGTCGGGATTCTCCGAGATCGGTTCCTCTGCGATTTGCTGTGCTAGTAGGAGGACTTGAATTCGTCGCCGGTGGTGCACTGACGACGGTGCTCTCCTCGGTGGAGTCGGCGATGGCCAGTGGCTCCTCCATTTTGCGGAACTGTGGTTTCGAGGTGAAGTTCCGAAGAAACTCGGAACTTCTATTTCTCGACGCTACCCCTCAGGCGAAGAAATCGTAACCCTTGCGAACGAGTTTGGTTTAATGTTTTTATGGCGCTCCCGCTGCGGATACGACGCCGTTCGTAAACTATGGAAACGGCTTACGTGGAGAAAGACGTTAATAACCCCCAGTTCTCAAGCCGGCACCGAGACGGATTAGGGTTTCCGATGGGCTATATAAATACTCGAATAAGCCTCTGGGTTTTTACTTTTTAGCTTTGAGTCGCAATTCCCTTTCCGTCGTCTTCATTCCATCGAAATCCGACTGCGGGAGAGAGGCGGAGCTAAGCAACCTGAACCAAGATGAGGGCTAAGGTTCGTTTGTCACTGCTTCTTGTTTCATCGATCTCGATTACTAGTCTGCGGTGCTGAAGCCTCAATTGTTACATGTTCATCGTTTATGGCGTAGCATAGGGTTCTATATATTCGTTGCCTGTCGAATCGTAGCCGTTTTCTGTAAGTTGAATTTGATCTGGAAAGTGTTGATGGATAATGGTAGATTCACAGTAGATATGTTAAGATGTAATGGATTTACGGTCCAAAGTTCGTAGAATAAACGCATTCGGTAATTTGGAATTGAGCTATTGATAGTGATTTGGTGAATCCGATCTATTTAATTAAGTTTGCCGTTATATCTTGTTTTCATATTGCCGCAGCTCCATTAGATTTCTTTCTGGGGCTGGATGTCGACCGGTGTGTATCATGTTTTTAGGGTTTAGCTGCCAATACTGTCCTCTGTGATGGGAATGTCTTTGATTGTTTTCTGCATCTGTGCTATTGCTTGATCAATAGTAATTCTCGTTTTACACACCGGAATGCTGAATTTTGTTGTTGTTCTTTCTTTGTGTGCAGTGGAAGAAGAAGCGTATGAGGAGGTTGAAGAGGAAGCGCCGAAAGATGAGACAGAGATCCAAGTAGGCTCTCCTCTGGAAGATTTGGTCCCTTTGGAGTTCATTCACTCGTGGATGTAGTCTAGGGGGAAAGGCTGTTTTGATTTTTCAGTACTAGTATTTAGTAGTGAATGATCTCCTTTATCTATGTCTTCTTTTATGGATGGTCTTTGAACAATTCCATAGTGTTATTTACCTGCGGCAATTCAAGTGATCTCTACTCGTTGATGTTTTGCGGCAACATATCTTTTTTTGCAGTAGTGTATCACTGTTTGTTTTCTTTGTGCTCTCTGCGTCCGCCAGATCTCATCCATGCTCGTTTTGTGTCATGCTGTGCTGTGGAGTGTGGAAAAACAGCATCTTCGTAGTATGTTGCTTACAACAATCAAAAAGAAATCACAGGATAAATAGAATAGTAGAGATTACATCCTCAAGTTAGCGCAGTCAATTGAATGCTGTATCACAGTGTAGAAAGGAAATGCCTTCTGTTCCATCACACGTTGAAGGCAGAGCCTGTAAATCCACAGAGACAGTTATTCATCCGCTTTACAAAATGAACATGATCTAAGCTCACTCCTTTACACATTCAACCCTTCGAGTTCGAGGTCATATTGCATGACAAGCCTCTCCAAGGTATTCAACCGCACGACTCCCCGCCCATACAACTCCTTCAAAACGTCGGCAGCCAACTCCTTCTCCCCTTCGTGCACAATCCCTTCTACCAGAATCGTGTAAGTCGTCTCATTAGGCAAGTACCCTTTCTCCACAATCATCTCAAAGACCTCCAGTGCCAAATCGGTCCTCCCACACTTGCAAAACCCTAGCACGAGCGCGTTGAAATTGTCCACCACGGGCTTGTATCGATTCTCCTCCAGCAGCTGGAAGATCTCCAACGCCTCGTTCAGCATCCCTTCCACGCACAGGCCCCTGATCAACGACGAATATGTGTGGGAGTCGGGTGTGAAACCATCTTTAGTCATCTCGTACAGAAGCTGGAATGCCGCGTAGGTGTTCCCCTTTCTCGTCAAGCTGGCGAGCACCCCTTTGTAGAACTCGTGAGTGGAAGCACTCCGCTTCTTCCCCAAGGTTTTGATGATGGTGAAGGCCTCCTTCACCTTCTTCCCTCCTTCCTCACAGAGCACCGCGATGGCGCTGTAAGTTCCATCATTAGGCATGACATGGCGATACAGCATCTGATCCAGACACTTCACGACCATCTCCACCATTCCTTCCTTCGCCAAACGAGCGATGATCGGATTGTACGTCGCAGTTGTCGGCTTGTGAGCCGCCCCCTTCGTCATTTCATCGAGCACTTGGAGCGCATGCTCGGTTCTCCCATGTAGCGCCAGCGAGCTTATCAGTATGTTGTAAGTAATCGCAGAGGGAGTTCTTTCCTCCCCATCCATCTCTGCTAACAACTCATTCGCCTCCTCCCACCTCCCTTCATAACACAAATTCCTCAACAGTATGTTGTAGCTAACCACATTGGGACTATACCCTTTGGAAGGCAGCTCCCTGAACAACCGAATCGCGTCGTGAATCCTCCCTTCCTTGCACAAACCAGTCAGCAGCACATTGTAGCTGACCAAATTGGGCATCCCTCCTTTCGCAATGATCTCATCCAGAAGCTTCATTGCCTCATCAGCGCCTCGCTCCTTATACGCGGTCTCGAGCAACGACGAGTAAGTGAATGCATTGGGGACGAGCCCTTTCTCTATCAACCTGTCGATGAACTGCAAGCACTGGTTCAAATTCCCCTGCATACACAGCCCTCGAACTAGTGAGTTATAAGTCGTACTGCTCGTGGGGAGCCCGAATTCCTCCATCTTCTCCACCAACTGCATCGCGTGCCCAACATTTCCCCTCTTGCAGAGATTGTTGACCAGGAAAGTGCAGGAAGCTGCGTCAGGGATGATCCCGGAATGGATCACCATTTCCATGACTCGAATTGCTTTCTTCAGCTTGTCCGATTTGCAGAGGTCGTACATCAATTGGGTCGCTTTGATGACGTCCGGCTTCTGCCCCTTTGCCACCTTATGCTCCAGATTGTAGAACTCTTCGGTTTGTCTTGCTTCCTTGCTTCTAGCACTGGGATTGGGATTATTCGGAGAGTCCCTCCAGTTTGGTAGCGTCAAGACGGAATCTTTCGGGGAGATTGTGATCTGGGTCGAAGCCAGAACTTTGGTGAAGGCCTTGTTGAGGGAGAAGGAGTGGAGATTCGGGACGTGGGAGAAGAATCCGCAGGAGATCGTCATTGAACCTCCGGTGGTTTCTTGGCATTGGGTTGGTGAAGTCGAAACTGGGTTCGGCAAACTCCTCATTGTTGAACTAAATCCCAAGTGTTAAGAAATTTCTAGGAGAAGTGTTACCGGGTTAGTGATCGGCGGTGGATCGACGGCGAAGTGTTATTCTTTGCGGGTAATGGTTTGGAGACCTTGAGAAGCCTCCGTCCATTCAATCCAAGGCTCGCTTGCTTTTTCAATTTTTTTTCGTGTTATCCGAATGATTTTTTTTTTGTCGACTCATGACAAGGCCACAGTTTCCGGGTTCGGGTGTATCATTTTGGATCCCGTTTGAACTTTGGGCCCCGTTTGATCCACGGGCTTCGAATATGAGGAAGAGCCCATAACAGTTTGAGACCACGTGGCGTTTACTCCGAGTACACCTGTCGTCCTCGAGGCCCTTGACACGTGCCACGTATGCCGCCTCAGAAACACAATATACGTAATGAAGGAAACGAAAAACAGGCGAGAAGGAATCGATAGCAACAATGGCGAAGAGCAAGGACGACATCAAGTACGGGACGGCGCAGGCGAAGTTATCTGAAGACGAGGCGATGAGGATTCGGTACGAGCACGGCACTCCGTTGGAAGGCGGCAAGATTGCAGACTCCCAGCCGGTGGAATTGTTCTCTGGTGCTCATAGAGTCGCCGATGCTAACGCTGATGAAAGGGATTCCTCCGGCGGTGGTCAGTCTCAGCCGGATCGGCCGGGGAGAAAGCTACCGATCTTCCCACCGGAGCCGGCTGATGGAGAATCGGGATAACTTTGTCTGCTTTCTTAGTTGAGGAGTCTTGTCCTTGTTCGGAGTTTGTTATCGAATTAATTAAATAAGTGTTTGCTACTTTGCTTGCAATAATTACCGGTAGTCCGTAAATGAGAAGGAAAAGCAAAATAGTCCGTAAATGAGAAGGAAAAGCAAAATAAATCCCTATATAATTAACCTTCCTCTGTATACGGAACCAAAACGAGAAGAAAAGAGCCCAACAATGGCGGATTGGCAAAACCTTCCGGATGAGCTCCTGGACATAATAGCCACAAAATTAACCACCATCTCCGCCAACATCCGATTCACCGGCGCATGCCGTTCGTGGAGAATCGCCGGCTTACAACACCGTCTCCCCCTAACTCAGCGGCGACGGATTCCAGGCCTCATGCTTCCCCCAAATGGCCACCGCAAAGTACACAATTTCCCCTGCAAATTCATTCCACTAACCGAGTTCATCAACCATGGTAAGAATAAGAAGAAGAAGAACAACAACAACAACAGGGGCGGCGAAATTCCGTGGCGGTTCGGAAAGAGCAGCGTCTGCATCGGGTCGTTGAAAGGATGGATGCTTATTCTGGACCACGACTGCAAATGGAGGCTGCAGAACCCTGTGACGGGCGCGGAATTCGCTCTTCCTGCAACCGGATCGAGACTGAAGAGGGGTGAAAATTACCAGCCATACGTGTTGTGGTATAATAGGCATCGATATAGGGTTTCAATCTGGGCTCCTCCTCCTCCTCCTCCCTGGAGCGGCGGCGGCGGCGGCGGTCACTCTGTTTCCGTTTCCGATTGGTTCGTCTCCGTCGTCGAGCCTTGGAAACCCCGCGTGAGGTATTGCAGGGTTGGAGATTCGAAGTGGGTAGTTGTTGATTTTTCAGAGCATGGGCTTGTAATAGTGGATGCAATCTGGGCTGAAGAAGAAGGGTCTCTTTATGTGTTGAATGCAGCAGGGGAACTCTTCTGCTGCGAAGGCGGCGGCCCGGAGAAGAAGCAGAACAAGAGGCTCGTGGCACTTGGCAGAGATCACTTCTTGGGACAGGATCAATGGGGAGCATTCAAGTTCCTGGTGGAAGTTGAGGGGGAGATTCTGCTGCTTAGCCGGAGGATGGAAGCTCCCCAAAGTGATGGCATGTTCGAGTATAAGAGAACTAGCGGGTTCGATGTGTACAGACTTGACAGGGAGAGGATGGCGTGGGCTGAGATGGCGGAGTTGGGAGAGCTTGCTGTGTTCGTAGGGTTTGGGCAGCCGTTCTGGGTTCGAGTCGAGCCAGAGTCGGGGATCAAAGGGAACTGCATTTACTATCTGGATATGGAAGAAAAAGAAAATCGTTGTAGTAAGACCATTTGGTACGGTATTTGTGCGTACGATTTGAAGACCTCAACGGTTGAGTTCTTAGATTTCGAACTTGAGATGAGACGGTACGGGAAACCAGCCCGATTGCCTATACCCATAGCTCCAGAGCCTTGGTGAGACGGGGGGAAGATGGCTCTAGCTGAAGGAAAGGAGGGGAGGGAGGGATGCGATACCAGAAAGCTTGTGTTATTGATACAATAATGTTATGGATTCAAGTTGAACTCATGATTGTTATGTAGAAATTTTTAAAGGACATATCAAGTTAGTTAGTGACCACTAATGCAGTAAACAATCTTTTTGTTCCAACGTGAAACAAGTTGCTAAATCAAATGAACAAACATGTTGTTTAATCATTTACGTCTCAACAAACTGGAACGACAGGGCAAAAAAGAGCTGGTAAACCATAAGGGGAATGACACGATGAAACAAAATGATAATGGTACGGGAAGCCTATCCCTTTCGGTGAATAAATGAGAATACTTTAGCTACAACTGCCGTGGGGAGCGGGTAATTCGGACTCTTAAGTCGCTATTGCGACAAGTCTCCCCATATATAGTTTTCTTAACGAAAACAAAGCAAACAAAGGACGAGAATGGTCTCGGAAATTGGTTTTTTGGAAGGTGAAAGCTGGCCATGAGACACCCTCTAGTAAAGGAAGAGCAGAGGACACAGGGTCATCGTTTCATTATGTTTGATATTAAAGTGGTTGATACGCAGAATGGAACTTTGAGGTTCTCGGACATTTATGGATGGCCGGAGAGTGGTGAGAAGCACCAGAAGTTGGAACTTTGAGGTTCTCGGACATTTATGGATGGCCGGAGAGTGATGAGTTCGTTAACACTTAACAACAGTGGGATGGGCCGTGGGTGTGCCGGAGCCCGGAGATTATAATCAAAATCATGATTTGCAACTGGCACGTGCGGAGTCCGTGACACGACTGAAGTGGCGGTGCTCGGCCTGCCGCGTCGAGAAAAAATATAAATAGCGGAACCCGCCGTCGTCAGCTGCCGTCCGGTTATCATTTCTTCCTCTTACCGTCCCCAATTCGGATTCCAATTGGAGCGGGAAACATCTTTTACAGCCATGAAATCGTCGAAGCAAGCGGCGGCAAAGGCGGATAACAGCGGAGGCGTATCCGCTCGCGTGCAGACTCTCCACCAGCGTCTCCACAGCGCTCTCGGCCTCGGCACTAGGTCAGTTCAGTTCGGTTCCTATCCAATCTGATCGGACTCGTTATATAATTTTTGCTCGTTCGATTCCCCTGAAAAATTCGATCGTATTTTGCCGGTAGATTTCACGACGGTAAAGGATGGAAGTGGAAGACGACAGACATCGAGATACAGCGACACGTCCTTCGTTCGATTTCTTCGTTCCTCGATAGCGTGACGCCGGATATTTCTCGCCATAGTGTAGTGAAGGTCGGGTTTCTGGTACTCATGGCGTCCGAATTTTTGATCATTCAGTAATGTTTAGTAGGATCTTTAAGGAATTGATTTTTGAGGTGTTCTGTTTCAGGACTCAGTGGCCGATATTGTTGGAGCGATGGTGTGGATTCTTCAGTACAAAAGTCAAGCTGCCGTGAGCGTAGCTGCAAATGTTGTATTGAAGTTGATGAACGCAATCCCTAAGTCGATCATGAGGCCGTATTTGTTAGATCTGGTTCGTCCTTTGTTGTCTTTGTTGTGTGGATACTCTTTAGAAGTGTTGACTTCATGCGCCATCGCCTTGAACATGATCCTCTCTCGCTTGACCGTGAAAGAGGATCCAATGGTTTGGGAGATGCTGAATGATTCAAACTCTGTTCATAGCCTTGTGAATAGTTTATCTGATGTTCCTGGTAGTGGTGATGTTGCGAGTATGGAGTGTTTCCTGGAGATGGTTTCTCTGTTGAGTACAATACTGCATCGGTGGCCTCGATCTCGGTATTGTGTTTGGAGCAATGTCAAATTCATGGAGGTTTTGGGGATTATGATCCAGAGGCCTGAATTTTCTGTTAAGATTGTTGTGATGAAGTTATATGCTGGAGTAGGTATAATGTCTGTACATTTTAGCATGTTGACCTTTCACAACTCTGAAATCTGCTAGTTGAATGATCAAGTTGACGTTTGGTGTGGCAGCTTTGTGTGGTAATGGTGCCAAGAAGCTTCTACAGAAGGAAGAAGTTCTCGGGGTGATGGTTTCCTGTATGGACAAGACATGCCCCATTTCGTTGCGCTTAGAAGGGTTTAGACTTGCAAGATGTTTGGCGGTAATAACTTCCCCACTAATTTTTTCAAACAAGTATGATTGAGACTCTTGGACTGTTTGAGTTATTGGTTGACGGTGTTATGTTTTCTAGACAAATAAAGAGGGATACTTAACAATGGCGAGCTTGTTCTGTGAACCCATTGTTAAAGCTATAGTTGATGGGATGAGCGGATGGTCATTGAATTCGAGGAAGATGGATGATGATCAACTATCTTTGTTGGTTGAAGCTTGTCAACTGGCTTGCATAGTCCGTTGGGCAGGGGAGCATCATAACTATTTTTGGAAACATGATATATGTTACGTCCTCCTTCGTCTTCTTTCAGAAAATCTTAGTGATGCTTCTTCTCAAGGTTTCTTATTGTTGGAGGAACAAATTCCTGTTGCCAAAGAAGCTCTCAAGGCTGATTTTCTCATTACTATTAGGCCTTATATTTGGGATATTCTAGGATGGCTTGCGGCTCAATGTACGAACGGTATAAACCATGAACTGTCTAGCCATGAAGGTCACATCAACATCCTCATAACATTTGCATGGTAATATTTGTTACTTTGCACATATTCTGTTTTATGGACATCTTCAGATACTAATATGATCTCGCCTTCTTTTGTTGCTTCTAGCTTGTCTTTTGTGGACTCTATTCAGAAAGGCGGTATAATAGTAAATGATGTCACTGAAACTTCGGAAGGTGGATCTGCTACAAGGGCAGTTCTGATGATGATATATTCTCCGTGCAAGTACTTCGAGTCAAAGGCTAAACAAACATTGTCTGAAATTCTAAAGCATGGTGGAAAGGATTATCTGAAACAGATTTTACGTTATCTAAGTCTTATATCTTCCAGGAAAGTTTTTGGCTCGCCTGACGTACACGCAGCAGGTGTCAACTTGATGGCTGCGACATGTTACTCCGGTCTGCCACTGTATCAAAGCCCTATGATTAAAAGTGGAGGAGTAACTGTTCTAATGGCTTTTATAGGATGGTGCATGAAACACGATGTTCATGTCAAAGGACTGGGCCTTGTTCATCATGGTCTGATCTCTAAGAGACTTTGTTGTTGGGAGGATAAAGAAGACTGGGAAGGTGATGAAATGCTTCTATTGTGTGGCTTGTGGGGACTAGCAGAACTCTTGTTCTCTGAATTTGTTCTGAATGCGGATGTATCTTATGGAAATATGGGTCTCACAGAAGCTGAATTTGTTGGAACTCTTAAAGATATATGTATGTCTTCTAGTTCTCCTGGACTGAAGTGGTACAGTGCACACATGCTTAGTTACTTTGGGCTATATGGTTTCCCTTGTAAACTTGGGCAATGTATTGGGAGAGCGTTGCATGAAAATGAAGATGGGGATATGCAAGTCATTCTAAGAAGCGGGCAGAGTTCGAGGGTGCACCGTGTTATTCTTTCTATCAGGTGTCCATCATTGTTGCCTCCTCGGAAATCAAGCTTGCAAAAGCAGGAAGTGGAGTCGGGTAAGGAAATTCACTTGTCTTCACATGTTGGAAATGAAGAATTGGCCAAACTTTTGGAATATGTGTACTTGGGATATACTCGCCCAGAAGAAGAACATGTGAAGAAATTGAAGATTCTTGCAAAACATTGTGGTCTCCAACCCCTATCAATGGTTCTGAGCAGAAGCCGTCCAAATTGGGGATCCCCTTTCCCCTCTTATGATCTTTCTGTCGCTCTTACTTCGGCTGGTCAAATGTTCTCGTAAGAGTTCAATCCTTTATCCCTTCAGTTACTAACATATCTTACTTTTGTGGTACTTATATGAGTTATGGCTAAAGCTATGGGGTCCATTAGATATAGTACTTGACAGTTTGGTTTGTTTTGGTTTTCAGGGACATTATACTGGAGGCTAAAGAAAATGTATCAAGTAGCTGGGAATGCACATTCTGCTCCGTATCCCGACCCCATGTACACGCTCATAAAGTTGTGCTGGGTTCAAGGTGTGATTACCTAAGGGCCCTTTTTCAATCTGGCATGCAAGAAAGGTGATCACCTCTTACTATATATATGTTCGCTTCCGTCTTACCTTAATGTCCTTATATTAAATTGGTTCGATTTTTCATCCAAGTTACTGTAATTCCTGTTGATGCAGTCATTCCAACACCGTAAAAGTGCCTGTTAGCTGGGACACCTTGAATAAGTTAGTGCATTGGTTTTACACGGAAGAGCTGCCTAATCCTCCAACTGGATGTCCATGGCTCAACATGGGAACAGAGGAAAAGCTGCAAGCCGTCCAACCATATCTCGAACTCTGCTGGATTTCTGATTTCTGGTTTTTGGAGACAGTAGGAGACATATGCTACAGAGTGGTAGTGTCTCATATGGAGGACTCGGACGCGAGTTTATCCCTTAAACTGCTCCAGCTTGCTGCAAACTTGTCGCTGTGGAAACTAGCTGAAGTAGCCGCTGATCGTCTGGCTCTTGCATATCGCCAGTTATGCCAGTCTGGGGATCTTGAATTGTTGGATGAAGGTCTGGCCGAAATGATTCGTGCTGCTTCTGTTAGGATCTCTCAATCGCTTTAAGGAGTTGAAGGTAATGTCGTCTCTACCTTTGTCTTCCTGTCCCTTGTAGTCACTAGACATATACTCGAGACCTAATCAAAGAATAGAACATGTCATTGATTGAGTAGTTACCATTTTATTCGATGATTACAAGTTACTTCTCTTTGGAAGTGGTGTCTATATCATACATCAGCATGCTATGTATCAAATTAAATGTTTCTTTCCTTTATCTAATGCTGTATTGTGTGTTTGTATATTCCTATTTCCTTGTCAGGCAGAAGGCGAACCAGCTTCCTCTCTTAGTTGCAGCCTAGTAGCACCGGCTGCAAGTCTCTTACTACGTCATGCATCGAGATCGTGGAGTCGATATCTTTCTGCAAAGAAAAAACGGGGAAAAGTCGTTAGTTCGAAAGGTCGAATCTATTAACATCAGTTCTTATTCCACCTCAAGTCTCCACTGAACAAAGAGTATCATCATACCTTGGTCACAAGCGTTACATCCAAGGAACATCTCCCGAAAGGCACGACATTGATGGCCAGCACAGTCAGGTGAAGTTTCTCTACTTCCCTAACTACTCTGGCCAGCAGACCATGACGTTTCTCACAGTGAATCCTGATCAGCACGTTCTCATCTAAGCCTCTCACTTCCACTTCCGGGATCAAATTATCATCACCAATCCGACTCATGAACTCCTCATCAATCTCCACCTGGGACTTCTTCACGAAGATGATGGACTCCACCAACGTCCTCTTTGCTTTCTCGTGCAGCTCGTTCACCCTCTCCTGAAGCTGCTTGATGTACTTGATCGCCTCTCCCAGCACAGTCGCCTTGTCTCCCTGAAGAAAAAACAAGCAATCAATCAGCAAATGAGCTCGGATTAAACTGAAGAACACAATCGCATCCTAGGAGGCGGGCAGGGCATTACCTTCTTCAGGTTCGGTATGTTGGCAGAAAGAGCAATGAACTGCTTGTTCAAATGCTCCCTGCGCTTCCTCTCCGCCAGTATGTGGTGCGGCACTGGCAAACCGCTCCGACCACTTCCCGAACTTGAAGCCGCCCTCATCGGCTGTTCAGGGGCCGCCGCATTGGCATTGTACTCCGATGAAGAAGGATGATGGTTGATCAAAGCAGACAGATCGTCGAACCCATCCGAGCCCTGCTGCAAAGAATCTTGCCCCAACGGCAGGAAGCTACTCAAATCCATTGGCGGCTGGTGGGTAGAGGTTGTTACAGTTAGGATTCCAGAAGCGAGAAGACAAAGGGATCCAACTGGTCGGTTTGAAACTTCCTGGAAAGCAGCTCCCTTTTATTCACAGGGAGGAAAACGCGTGGAAGTAAGATCCGATGCCGAGAAATCTAACTCAAGATAAATGAGGGGGCGAGGTTTTGGCTAGATAGCAACTGAATTTTAAAAATTCTGTTGCCTGTTTTGCGCGAGGAGATAGTAAAGATGGCGGCAAGTCATTCTTTTCCCTCCATCGGCCATCTCTGTCAGAGGTTTGATTAGTTCCAAGTATCTCAATTTTTTTGGCGCGTTCCCTTCCTGTGTTTATTTTATTAAAAGATTCTGCCTTTCTTCTTCTTCCTTCCCTAGGGAGTTTTGGGGAGTTCGGTCTTGGCATGTTCGAGCAAAGGAAAGCAAAGATTGAGGATGGCGGCAGTGCATATAGAAAAAGAAAATACAGGGGCCAGCCTTGACCTCGAGGTATGGGAAATTCTCCTTTGTTTTTTCTGGTTCTGCCGCATTCTGCAACCTGACAGAGACAGACACTTGGCTTTGTGTTTGGATTTGATTAATCAGTAATCAAACACAAGGCAATTGGCTGGTTATGTGTATCAATTTTTTATTCGTCTTGGTCATTTTCTATTGGGTTACACGAGGTGCTGCGGTAGGTAGGCTTGGATTTGAGCAGCAGGGGATTTGCTAGAACTGTAGATAGGGCGTTGAACTGGAAATCGAAGACGAGAATTAGAACCGGATGGAAAGTGCATTTATTATTATTATTATTATTATTATTATTATTATTATTGTTGTTGTTGGTGTTTCCATTTCCTTCTCCGAACCGATTACGAACAGTGGAAAATCTGTTCCCTCTTTCTTGTATATTTTATCCCAAAGATAAACTCGAAGATAACTTGAATGTGAGTATATGGTTATGCATTGTTCAAATGTGTCTCGGTTTCAAATGTCGATTGTCGAGTCGTCTACTACTGTCTCAGGTTGAGCTCTTGCAAAATGCAATGATTGCCAAGTTTGCAGGTTATGGTTCCTTCACTGTGAACAAAATACAATCTGTTAGCGGGATAGCACTAAGTCTGCTTCTGTGCTGAATGATTGCCAAGTTTCAAGTCTGGGCTCTGAACGTCAGAACGTGCTTGTGGATGCTTGGGCACATACTTTGGGCCTGGGCTTGGGCTACTCTCTCTCTCTCTCTCTCTCTCTCTCTCTCTCACTCACTTATCCTACTTAATCATATCACCTAGTAATAATAGAGCATATTAGCCAACGGTCAATCGTTCATGACTCAGTTGCTTTTTTTTCGCCTTTCAAGGCTGGTAAGCAGCCGATATGATTTCACTCCCCAACATAAATGACTACCTTTACACAATGACACATAAAGTGACTCTCTTTATTGCCTCCCTTGTCTTCGGAATCTTAAAACACATTCTTAATTGAAATCATTCATTTGGTATTTTCCACAACAGAGAGCTATTTCCCTCTCAGCTCAAAAACATTCCTACCAAATTCCAAAGAGGAGAATGGCAATGCCTACTCTCCCCGTTGTAGCCAAATCAGCACTCTTCATAGCATTCTCCATCTTGCTAACCATCTCCCTCTTCACCTCCTTCCCATTCCAAATCCCCAACTTCCTCCCCATCACCACCACCACAACCCCCAATCCTTCTTCTCATCCCATCATCACAATCCCCGACCCACCCGACCCAACCTTCTACGACGAGAGCACTCTTTCCTACTCGGTCGGGCGACCCATCCCTGACTGGGACGCGAAACGAGCCCGATGGTTGAACCTCCACCCATCGTTCTCGGTCGAGAAGAACCGGGTCATTCTAGTCACGGGGTCTCAGCCTTCCCCGTGCAGGCACCCGACGGGAGACCACCTCCTGCTCCGTATGTTCAAGAACAAGGTCGACTACTGCAGGATCCACGGGCACGAAATCTTCTACAACGACGCCCTGCTCCACCCGAAGATGACCGGTTACTGGGCCAAGTACCCGATCATCCGGGCGGCCATGGTGGCCCGATCAGAGGCTGAGTGGGTCTGGTGGGTCGACTCGGATGCGGTCTTCACTGACATGGGGTTTCGAATCCCGTTCGAGAAGTACAAGGGCTACAACTTGGTGGTGAACGGGTGGAAGGAGCTGGTCTATGGAGAGAAGAAGAAGAGCTGGACCGGGTTGAACGCCGGAGTGCTCTTGATTCGAAACTGCGAGTGGTCGATGGAGCTGATTGACGAGTTGGTGAAGATGGGTCCCCAATCCGCGGAGTATGCGGATTGGGGGAAACGGCAGAAGGAGGTTCTGAAGGACAAGTTGTTTCTCGAAGCCGATGACCAGTCCGGCCTCATTTACTTGCTAATCAACAACGGCACCGGCGCCGGCAAAGGGCGAGAGTTCAGGGAGAAAGTCTACCTGGAAGACGAGTACGATTTCCAGCGGTACTGGTTGGACCGGGTGGGTTCGTTCGAGAATGTGACTCGGGACTACGACGACGTATTGGAGGGGAAGGATGGAGGCGTTTTAAGGCGGAGGCACGCCGAGGGAGTGAGCCAGTTCTACGGCGGGATGCTAGAAGAGCGGATCAAGGAGTGGGATTGTAAGAAGAGGAGGTCGCTGATCACGCATTTTACAGGGTGCGAGCCGTGTTCCGGCGAGCACAATCCGATGTACAGCTGGGGAGATTGCTACGATGGGATGGTGAAGGCTTTGAATTTTGGTGATAATCAGGTTTTGAGGAACTACGGGTTCGTTCGTCGGGATTTGTTGGATTCTTCTCTGGTTTCTCTCTGATCTGACTTGGGAAGTTGTGACTGTTTTTTGGTAATGACTATTCTTGGTTGAAATTTAAGTAAATTCTCACAATTATGATCAAGAATACGTTGAATCATGATGATTGGCGATTTAAGATATGGATCTTAGTTGATATTCGTGATAAGTGTTATTCTTTGGTAATATTGCATGAGAAGTTAATGATATTGGTTTGGATTAAATGGACGAAAATAAAATTATTTTTTTTTGTTTTTGTGATGCCAGGAGTACATTATATGTTAGGGAGTTTTAATTGTTTATAGTAGGTAAATTTTGAATTTTTTCCCACTTGTTTAATTATGATTATGGATCTATAAAGAATTGGAGGCAGAAAATAATTAATTATAAGTTGGCAGCTTTAACTTTGCATCTTCTCTTTAGGGGGCAACTTTAATCTTGATTAACATTTTGTCTAATGCTGGCAGCATCTTTTGTTGGAAAACCGTCTTTTCTACCTCCATTGGTTATCTTTCCATTTTTTCGGGCCGACGGCTGCAGGCTCAGGAGAAGTTGTAGTATTTTGGAAATGGGCCTTAATCAGTTGGGCATGTTATGGGAAGTTCTCATTGAGCTAGTATGTGGGCCGAACTTAAAGCCTAGCTAATGAACCATCTTGAGCGATTAGACTACTATTTCAAGGAAACTTATTTGATAAGAGGGGTTAAATGTTAATCACTATTATGATAGTAAAAGTTCTAATATGAAAATGAAAATGCAATTTGTGAAAAAAATATTATTTTCACAATATATCAATCCTATAAAAGAATTTTCTTAACACAAACAAACTGCCTAAATAGAAAGCGCTTTAATATTTATTAAGATTAAGATTAAGATATATATGAAAATTGATTTAATTATCGTGTTATATATGTTTAGTACGTAAAGTATATAGTAAAAATTACACTATGATAGCATTTGAACGAAAAATTTGAACAAAGAACTCGAGGAAGAGCTGCAAAAGTTTTTTTTCATGGTGAATTAGAGGCATAATTTACTAGTCAAAAGGAAGAAGAACTCGAAGCTAGTTGAGGAGAGAAATTGCAAACCCCGATCCACGTCAACATTTATTTATGGGCTTAATTACACTGATTGCCAATTACATTTAAACAACAATACGTAACCGGTCAAACTTCCACAATTCCATCAGGTGCTAACCCATTCAAATCTCGTAAACCTCCACAATACATTACAAGATAAAAAATGGACATAGAGAACAACGGATAGAAACCTGAACAATAGAGTCAACCTCCCTGATATGTGACAAGAACTTGTTGCCCAGTACCTGTTGTAGTCAACAAACTCAAAAGTCACAAAGCCAGTCGACTCAAATTTCAGAGAACCATCAAATGAAGAAACCAACTAGCTATTCTCTGTTGGAAATCCCACCAAAAATTCAGGGAGAAAGTCTACCTCGAAGATGAGTACGATTTCCAGCGGTACTGGTTAGACCGGGCGGGTTCGTTCGAGAATTTGACTCGGGACTACGACGACGTATTGGAGGGGAAGAACGGCGGCGTTTTGAGGCGGAGGCACGCCGAGGGAGTGAGCGAGTTCTACGACGAGATGCTGGCAGAGCGGATCAAGGAGTGGGATCGTAGTAAGAGGAGGTCGCTAATCACGCATTTTACAGGGTGCGAGCCGTGCTCCGGCGAGCACAATCCGATGTACAGCTGGGAGGATTGTTATGAAGGGATGGTGAAGGCTCTGAATTTCGCTGATAATCAGGTGCTGTGGAATTACGGGTTTGTTCGTCGGGATTTGATGGATTCTTCTCGAGTTTCTCCTCTGCCCTGAATTGGGTAGTTATGACTTGACTTGTGTTATTTGTAATGATTATTCTTGATGGAAATTTAAGTAAATTCCGACAACTATGGTACGGTCTACATCGAATTCTAACGATGGATCTTATTTGCTATTCATGGTAGGTGATATTCTTTTACAGTGACGAATGACGATACAAAAAGTTAATAATATGGTTTGGATCAACTGAACGAGGAATGAAATTGCCTTGTTGTTATGTTATCCGTGATGCGATGAGTCTATTATCTGTTAAAGCGTTCTAATAGGTAACTAGTTTAATCATGGTTATGGATCTATAAAGGAGTGAGAACGGCAAATAAATAATTGTAAGTAGGCAGCTTTTAACTTTGCATCTTCTCTTTAGGAGGCAGCTTTAATCTTGATTAACATTTTGTCTAAATTCTAATGTTGGCAGTTGGCATCATCTTTTCTTTTGTGGGAACCATAACCTGAACTCATTTCTAGCTCCATGGTTTATCTTCCCACTATTTCGGGCCGATGGCTGCAGGCCCATGAGAAGATGTTGTATTCTGGAAACGGGCCTTAATCAATTGGGCATGTTTTAGGAAGTTCTCATTGGGCTGGTATGTGGGCAGAACTTAAAGCCTAGTTTAAAAGTTTTTAATTCTCAACCCTTAAATCTGGATCTTTCTAGACCCACTCTAAACTAAAGACACAGATTTAATTAAGCAAGGGTGGGGGAGCTTTTCGTGTTAGACCATCTTCAATAAGAGCATTTACATCAAACTACCATATCTATATCTTTATGTATACATAGAGGGAAACCCACGAAACCAAAACAAATCTTGTTACCTACGAATGATCAATCAAGCCCCCCAATTTGTTCAACCTGACCGATCGAATCCCATAAAACAAATGCAAGAACAAACGAACCTTAGCTTGTTATTAGTCATCATTCATCAGAATTCAGAACACATAGAGATCCGCAAGCTCCTCCAGAGAATCCAAGCTAAGGCTGCTGGGATCGCCATTCTCCAGCATCCAAAGCAAGTGATCGAACAGAACCACCTCACACTTCACCACAGCCGTCCGATCTTTATCATCATCATCATCATGATCACGACCATCATGGCTACATGACTTGTCGATGAGGGCATTCACCACGGGGTGGCTCAAGTACTTGGAGCCGATCACGTACCGCTTCCTCGTGCTCCCCACGAACACCATCCTTCGATCATCGTCGTCGTCGTCGAGACGATGATGATTGTCCAGATAGTGATGAGCAGTGCTGTGAGACCTCCACAGGTGGTTGTTGGCCCGTTGGGTTGCAGTTGGATTATTTGATCTCAAGCTGCTGTAGGATGAGGACCGACCGAGTTGTTTGGACAGGCTCTTGCATTTCCTTAGGAGCACGTTGATCTTCTTCATCAATCCTGATCTTGGTTCTGAAGGGGGAATTAGAAGGATTATGGAGAGAGAGAGGTAGAGAGACTTGCCAAACACTCACATAAAGAAATGTATAGAGCTAGTTGGCAGAGAGAGAGAGAGAGAAAGGTGGTGGTGGGTGTAATGTTGTTGTTGTTTTATATATACAGAGAGAAATTTGAGAAAGAAAAATATATATCGAAATATTTGAGAGATTTAGTATATAAATGGTCTAATGATAATATCACTGGTCTTGAATTTGGAAGTCAAATGTGTGAATTTCTTAATTAACATCTAACTAAATAGATAAATCTATATCAAGCTTATTAAAAAAAAAAAAAAATTGTAGCAAGGGCATATTTCCTTTTGCTTTTTTCTCTATTGATGACATAAACAAGTCATCATGCATGCTTGGTATAGTAACAAAAATATAATGAATGGGTTTCGATTACTTCGTGATTAAAAAAAAGTCGTTCTATTAAAATACGTAGGATCTTGAGATGCTCCTATTTTAGGTTGTTAGTGTTACTATCTAACCAAAAATATATGTTCAAATCCAAAGGAAAATTAGATGCTTTTGCTTCCTTAAGGTGAGCAACTCCACTATGAACACATTATTCCTATGTTATTTTTTTTTCAATCTTGAAGCTTAATCATGATATCATGATCGTTTGGGGGATTGGTTGCCCACATTATACCTAGTGCTCTTGTTGGGGTCTGGTCATTAAACCAATCACAAGTTTCAATTACTAGGTGTCTATGGTTGGTTTATTAGTTACTTCAATAATCATTATGCAAAACGTAATCTATTCTTATATTGTGAAAACAAAAATGAATCTACAATTCTACAACAACGCACTCGATCGATCTCAGAAGGCACGGTGGTTGAATAGGGTTGATAGTGATGAGAGGAGAGAGAGAGCATTTGCACGTAGGGATGGTAATTTGAATCTGTCTTGCTGGGTATCACTCGACTGATCCGTGATGGAGCGAGTATTAACCGAACAACAGTAGCATGGGATGAGACATGGGTATCTACTTCCGACCCTCCCAGCCCTATTCTTGGCTCATTATATCTCAATTTCATATAATATCTATTCATATATTTCTCCTGTTTTGACTTTTCTTCACCTAGTTCGACTTGATTTTTCAACTATTTAGAGTCAATTACTCATTCTACCATCACTATTTTTCATTTATAAAGTGTTTTTCTTTCGTTTTATCTTAAAAACTACAACATTACGTGTATTTTTGTTTCCAAATAACATATAAAAGCGGATCGACCGACTCCAACCTATACTCGCACGTATATTACTCGCCCCGACCCACAATAACTAGACATAAATATTGAGGTAGACGCTCCGCCAACAGCTTGCCATCACTATTTGCATGTTGTTGAGTGACAAGAAGAGTCACTACCTAGAAATGGAGGATTGGAAGACTGGCTCAGCCTTTCATGGTTAACTGACAAAATTTGCGAACGTGGACAGCTTTTTGTTATACCCTCAAGGATCTAACCCAAATATGATCCAATTCAAACCAAACTCAAAACTATTAAAAGTACATACGAGTTCATTCGGATCCGGCCCAATAACTCATAATCTTGTTAGATGCCATTTTCCTTTTCACTTGGTTCACAAGTCCCACTCCACAGCTGACAGCAAGCCATGCACAAACACCATACAGGTGTTTATCGTATTTGCATGACTACTAGTTGTGTACCAAAAATGGGGAGACCCGCAAAACAAGCTGATTCCACATTACCTCGTCTCAGTTTTGAGTACCTATCTATCTTTTCAGGTTATGATAACTCGCTTCGCTGCCGTCCTATCGCTTTCCCCTCTAGTTGGATGGATAGAGAGAAAAATAGAGGGAGCAATAGTTAGGTCTATTTACATGAGAGAGAATTTCTCGTATCAATATGTAACTGAACAAATATATCATTTTTTTTGTCCTACTGAGCGATATGTGCGTTTGTGTGTATTTCAAATGTTTAGATGACAGAAGAGTCATTGAAGGTACTGCATTATGGAAGATGATGTCGAATCCAAACATACTGAATCGGATAACACCTTTACGAATACTTCTATTTCGTATGATTTTAATGAATATTATTATTATTCCAAGTCATATCATGGGCGAGCTAGGTTATCAACCAGGTTTAGTCTGTTGAGCCGGTCGAGTAAGTGGGTTGAGATTTAATGGTCCGATAACTTTAACCCGATTAAGCCCGAATCATATATTTATAAGTTATATTAAATCTTATTTAGCATATATGAGTAATACCATATAACATTATAGAAAATTAACGATTCGTACTTGGATCCAACATATAGTGAAAATTCAAACATACTCATATAATATCAAATGTTCAATTTCGAATTCCAAAAATAGGGTTAGATGAAGGGAAAAACCGGAAAAGATCCGCATTTTTCAAATCAAAAGGAAAAACGAGGTCACATGACCTCCAACCCAGGAACCTTATTGCGGGTCGACTCACATGTGTGTGGCGCCGATTTTCCTCACCGGGTCACCCGCGAGGGGACAACCTTACATAGGAGTTTGATCACATCATTATCATTCTGGCAATCGAACAAACAACATTGAGACACACACACAACAGTGGGACCTAATTACCGGCAGCAGGATGACATTAAAGAACGAAAGTATATTTGCGTGTTGAAAGTAAATGAAGGAATCTCTCTTAGCTCTATGCTTGCCGGCTAACAATCCCCTAAGGGATTGCTTTGAAGTAAAAACACATATCATCCATCACATCATCAAAGACACAACAAGCTAAGAAACTTTGGAGAAGATCTCGTGCAACTGAACCTAATGAAATTCAACGGAGGAATACCTTGGAAACACTTGCCATTAGACGTTGAAACGAAACAACATCACGTCTCCCTCTTTGGACAATATGTACTCTTTACCCTCGGATCTCAACTGCAGATCATGTCAAGCATGATTAATGTCAGTAGAGAGCATCAAAGTCGACAGACTTTGACAATAAAAGAACATGGGTATAAGGTAAAGAGGGTTTAATTTCCCATGAAGCCTGTAGGCTATAACACTGGTGTAACCTTGTAATCATAGCTAAACTGTGCTTTTACCCAAGGACTGATGACATACATCTAACTTCTGAGGCCTAACTGTTGGCTCGGGGAAAATGTGCTGAAGCGGTAAATAAGGGAAAGCTACTACATTCACGAAGGCTATGTGTATGATGCATATCAGGGTAAAAAAAATAAGAACACTTACAAGTCCTTCTTCCCTTGCTGCTAGCCTGCTACAAGTGAACCAGCACTCCAGCAGTAACAAAATCATTGTATGCAACCTGACAATTGAAAAATGGAAAGGCAGGGAACAGTGTGAAGTTAAACATGGTAATAGGTATGCCACTGTTAGCCAACAGGTCCTGTTTCACTGGCATGTTTCAAGTTACTTTTTTACTAGCAATCTGTTTTCGAAGGAAGGGATGAAAAGGAATGGAGGTGAAGAAAAATTAGGAAGAAAGAGGATATTTGGAGATAAAAGAAATTGGGATTTTTCCAGAAGTAGCACCGTTTTAATTTTTTTTTCCAAAAATAGCACCCAACTCCGAAAAATTCCAAAAATAGCGCCCTTTTCCAAAAACCGCCACCCGTATCTGCAGTTTAGGCGAAAACCGCCACCCCGGGGCGCGTTTTTCGATGAAACCGCACTGGTAAAGGGCGGTTTTGCAGACCGTACCCCCACCATGCGGTCTGCTTTTTTTATTTTTTTGAAAAATCCTAACCTATGTGGAAACTTCAAACGAACATATCTTTATGTTCCCACAACCACGTGTATATAAGAATCATCCAAATTTTGAAACACACAATTATCAAGCATAAAATCACATACAATTATATCACATAACAAACCAATTTGATTGTCAACCCAATGATCAAATACATGTACAAGCAAACCATGATGAGCACGGAATTGAGCCAACTAAGGATATGTCATCCATTGTCCATCCTAGATTGAGCTATGGAAGACAGCCACATGAAGTAGGGATATGTCAAAGGTACTCCTGAAAATATATTTCGAGCTAGGTGAGATCACCAAATGTTGAGGGGGTTAATAGGTGAGATACTCACATTTTTTCCCTCATCATATTGATTTGGGAGACTAGTGAAAGAACAATATTAGACGACTTGGATGATTAAGTGCAATGATGCATGACAACTTGAGTGAGAATGATCGATGGAGGCTAGAGCACAAGGGATTATGGAAGAATGGCTCACTAAGAGGTTGTTTGATCATTGTGATGGTTTTGATAAGATTGTCACCGTGATTATATTGCTTATAATTCATACTTTCTCATATTTTTACGCACAGGCAATACAAGTATTGTTTGTAGAGGTGGCAATTGGATCGGATTCGTGGATTCGTGGATTGGATTCGTGGATCCATGGATCAAATGGATTGGATCCAATGGATTGGTGGATTCATGGATTGGATCAAGTGGATTGGTGGATTGATCCATGAATCCAAATGACATCCAAGGCTTGGACCAAAATGTAATTTTTGAAAAGTTTAGGTACTAAAATGTCATGACGAAAAATTTTAGGTACCAAAATGTAATTTTCCAATGTTATTTTTCGTATAAAAATCTAAATTTTAGGTACCAAAATGTAAAATATAAAAAATATAGGTACCAAATTGTAATTTGCCATTTAGATCCATGGATTGATCCATGAATCCACCAATCCAATTGGATTTGGATCAAATGGATTGGATTTAAATGGATTGGATTAGGTGGATAATTTGGTGGATGGATTGGATTGGATTCATGGATTTGGATCCTAATTGCCACCTCTAATTGTTTGCATGATGTGACATAAACAATCTTTCAAAGTGAATGATTGTACAATCTCAAATTTTAGTTGAAATTGTTGGAATTGTTCAGCTAAGATTGGTTTATCTTTTTATGTTCCAACTTTAGTGTTTAAAAATTAACTTTTGCATTCAAACGA